TTATATTATATATTTGATTATATATTACATTATATATACAATATGAGCATGTATATATAACATAAAATTGAATATAGATTATACTATATACATAATATATTTATGTATATATAATATATAATAATATAATTGATTATAGATTATATTCTATATATTATATATGTATGTATATATAATATATATTTGATTATAGAATACATAGCATCTATAATTGATTATATATTAAATTATATATGTGTATATAATATATATTTTAAATCTATAAATAATATATGTATGTTTATATATATTATATAATACAATACAATTAATCATAGATTGTTCTATATATACAATATATGTATGTATATATAATATATAATTGATTATAGAATATATAGCATCTATAATTGATTATATATTAAATTATATATGTGTATATAATATATATTTTAAATATATATATAATATACTTTTGTATATATATTATATAATACAGTACAATTGATCATAGATTGTTCTATATGTACAATATATGTATGTATATATAATATATAATTGATTATATATACAATATATACAATATATCCTATATATGTATGTATATATAATATATAATTGATAATAGAATATATATCATATATTATCGACTATAGATTAAATTTTATATATAATATATGTATGTATATATTATGTATAATTGATTATTGATTCTATTATATATATAAAATATGTTATATATATATACATATATATATGTATACATAAATAAATAATTGATTATAGATTTATATTATATATATATATATGTGTGTGTGTTTGTGTGTACGTATATAATATATAATTGATTATGTATTATATAATTGATAATATAGGTCATATATATAATATAATTGATTTTAGATTGTAGATTTTAGATTGATTATATTATTGATTACAGATCTTTATTGTATTTTGGGTGTATATAGTCACGGCGTGTTACATGTTTATTCTCAAACTCTATAACAGTTAAAACATATGCAGCTATATCACTGCCTTCTTTAGCTTCAAAATATATACAGCATATGCATGCATCGCACTTAATTATCGCCACTTGGATGTGAAACCAGGCGCCTCATCCAGCATGGTTTTTATAGCTAAAGCTGTGACATGTCGATAAACCGTCCCCGTTTCCAACTCATATAGGGACGTGCCTATTACCCGTAATGTAGTGGCACTGTAGTTTATAAAGAATGTGGAGATTTCACTTCGCCATTCATGCATCAACCCCACGTCCAGTGATCTTTTTACCACATCAATGCCGTGCGCAAAAACATCTCTATGCGATCATTCCCCCCATGCTCACCTTTAGAGACAAACCATATCTTAGCACCGCGACTCGTCAAATAGGTTGAAAACTCATCACTAATAAACGGGCTGTCTTGGTCCAGCACGTATTCCTTATTGTGCCTCCGTGGTTTAAGCTGAGTTTGAAAGAGTTTAATGACTTCCGCGGACATGTGTTCGTCGTCTCGTAATAGAGTGCCAAAGGCCCGCGGAGTACACCTGTCCTGGGCCGCTAGTATATATTTTTAGCCACCCTTATCCTCGTCCAACTCCAAATAGTCCATGTTGATCTGATCGCACATAGCAGCAGACCGAACCGGTTGCTGTAGTAGTCCCCTAGTAGGCCCTGTAGATAACCCACACGTACGCACTCCGTACAACTGTCGGTGATTGGCTTGATAACATCCACCAGAATGTTCCGTCTATACTTATCTTGTGCCAATGCTCTCAAACGGTTAGTTTGTATGCTGGTGCCAAATCCATAGCGCGTTCAAAGTTGTTTTGGGTGGCACCAGTTTGCCCATTGCTGTCACACATCTTCAACCGATCAATGCGGCTAATAACCGCTTTTTCCGTTTTTGACATGTTTCGTAGCGACGTTTTCCGCAACCGGCGACGGTTATGAATGTGAATGGGCGCATCCGTGGTGACGTCGTCTGAAATCGTATACCAAACCTCCGGCGGCGCCACTCGCGGCTTCGTCCATGTACGTGGGCCTACATCCTCTACTTCCAATGCATTCTCCATGTACTGCGCTGCTTGGAATGCGGCGACCTTTTCACTTGTGCCAATCGACACCTCTTGAAATGCCAAATGAATCCGAGGAGCTTCGCAATCATCATCAGCGCCCAACAGTCCAATCTCAATATAACCTACCTTGTGCGGCGTTGGCTGTGCCAAGTGCTCTTTCGTGGGCGCCACAGTGCTCTCATCACTACTCGCTGGCTGCAGGGCAGAAAATTTATTGTCCGCTTGCATCCAAGTCATGGCAAAAGAATGCACACCATCTGCCTCGTCTGCTGAATTATCCTGAACGACCTCCAAGATATCCTGTCCCTCCCGACTCTCCAGTGCCCGGGACATGTCTGTTTGTGCCAGTTCCTGTTATACCTGCCCAAGTGCTTGAGACATGTCCGTTGGGGCCAACTCTGTACTGTTCACGTGCCGTGAGTTTACCGGTGACAACGGTGACATCTTTCCAGGTCCGAACTTCCACGTCGCTTGTTTCTGCGCCCCTTGCGCCACATTTGACGGTGAAGGGACTCGCTTGGTGCTGAACCATTTCCATGTTCTCGGTTCTTCGCTGCCCTGATCCGTTGCAACCGCCGATGTCATTGGTGTTGACACACAACAGGGCTGTAGTGGGTATTCTATACGATGTAGACTTGTTGGCGCCCGTTGTTTCCCTACTGCATGCCAAAATCGGAGTGGAAGGTGTGGTGGCGTAGGTTTACCACTAACACGGCAATCACGTATATTCCCAAGGAGGTAAACCCAGGATCGTCCGTCCTCGGTGAAGAAATGTATCCTCGCGATGCGGTATCACCAGTGGTATTCCTTGCGTCATGTGGACGAGTAACGGGAACCAAACGGCCTTAGGTCGATAAGGTACCACCGCCGCTACATACGTATTCGGCATATGTTCAACCGATTTCAAGAAAGGAAGAAAAAAATCGGCCACGAGGAGTTCATATATGCTCGAATATGGCGAAGGTCAACCCAAACGCATCCGTGCCCCAGAGGCCTGAGCCATCTTTGGTACAGTAAACCGCCATCACACGGCCTTCATGGCCAGCAAAGAGTTCAACGTCAAAGGAGCCATAGAGCTGATCAATCAAGTACACCTAGGTAAGATTAAAAGAGTAGCTGTCCGGGAACCTGTACCGTGATTTGCTATACACTAACACATCTGTATCGTCCTGAACTATATTCACTTTGTCATGACCCCACGTGATTCGTTGTTGCCGCGGCGCAAAAGATAGTGCACGCGTTGGTTGACTAACCGACTACACTTCTTCCGTAACTTTACCAAAACCTACACGACTTGCCCCTTTCTGTTGAAGTAGCTTGTCTGTGTGGTTCATTGAACGCGAGAAGCAATTACCGAACACTGTGAGTGGTCGTTGAACATATCGCACGTCCATTACTACTTCCTTAATAGTGTTGAGAGCGCGGATAATTATGCTGTTCTTGGAACTCTATTCCTGAAAGTAGGCTTCTGGGTTCGCTATGAAATTTAATAGAGGTTTGTGGTCTGTGACCATAAGCACTAATCGTACAGATCTGCGACAAAGTACAAACGCTTTCCTCGCACTAAATGTGCAACCGACCATCTCTCTATCCGTAGCCCCATAGTTTCTTTGTACGGGGTTGAGTTTACTCGAACAAAATGCTACCGGGAAGAGGAATATATACTCGCCGATAGTGATGTCCAATCCTTTGGACTATCCTCGGTTACTACCGATATGTCAGAGTCGTGCGCAAGTGAACCATTCTGCGTCTTCGTCATGCCCGCAAGTGAACCACCCTGCGCTGCATCCTGTGGGTTTCCAGGTGTCACAACAGTGAACCACTCTGTTGTAAGTGCGGTTTTCCGCGCCCGACTGTCGTATCACTGATCACTGTGCGCTCCCGTTGTGCGTTTTCTATGTTCGTAGCCGCGTTTCGTGGCGTGAAAGGTTAAACCCCTGGTTAAAAAATGGATTATAGACGATCTCTGGTTTGTTTGGTTCTTCATAAATGGATTCTTCCTGATCTGAAATCACTAACCTCGGTGTTTGTGAGTGAAGTGTCAGAGGTGATAGACCTAATGCCTCTCTATACCTCCGGCAGTCTGCTACACAAGACTGTTCTGTGTCCCATTCCTCGGCTCCTGGCCGGGGTATCTGTACAGATACTGCAGCCCCAACCCCGACATTGCACGCGTCGGGCATGATTATTAGCTGTTGGTGTGGGAGAGGCTCATAAATTTTCATTCTCCGCATAATCAACGCTACAGCTTCTGAAGGGCAGCTTATTGGGGTGCCTTCCATGAGAACACCGCCCCCTTCTTCGTCAGATCCGACATAGGGACCGCAATAGATGTCATATTCAGTATGCACCTGTTCTACCAAGACATCACTGCTGTAAGGAAATTAGATCTTATCGGTTGACCGGTGCTGGTCTGTCAAACAACGCCTGTGTCCACTCTTTCATTATCATAGATGTATTTCCCACTTGTTCCCGACCATAAAACACTGTCGGAATGTCTGCTAGAAGCATTATCTGAGTTTTTATTTGTTGTTGCAATTGTATGTTCTCTGCGACGCATATGTCTACAAACTGAATCACGTGCTGCCAATGTCTCTCCAAGGCGTCAACTACCGATTATGTATGTCGCCTGTGTGTCACCGGCTTGTTATCACCAGCTTGTTGCCACCATTATACAATTTAGGGTTTGGGGCTTCCGTCTCGGTATAATGCTGCATATCAAAGGATTCATTTTCGATCCCTTCCTGTAGGCATGTGGGTCTATGGAGTTTTCCGTCCGCCGTCACATATGTTAGGTAGTCCCTGGATCCCTGTTCTAACTCCAGTTGATGGTACGACGCTGCCAGGTCTGCCACTGTCGTTATCAACGCGTTTGTTCCGTGGGTGCCCATGTCCTCATCTTACGGTAATTGGTACGCCACCCTCACCATTTGCTTGTTTACTTCGATGTAATTAATGGTAATCGCATAATCCTTTAGATTTTTCGGTTCCACCCGTGGGTCTTTCCGTACCGCTTTAACTGAGCTGACATACCGGCTGAAGCGATTTTCTGCCTCCGCTTTTCCTTGGCGATGTAGCTCATTGATTTTCTTGATGTCCACTTTCTTCAACAGCGGGTCCTTAGTGAAATATATTGACCGAGATGGTCCTGCATCTTCCTTAGGCTGCAATATGACTTGGTCATTTCTTATAAATTTGGTGTGTCTCGGATCATAGCGCGCCTGTAAAAATTTATCTTTCACTGCATCGACCTCCTCATTTGTCTTTCCTAGCAGTTTCCCAACTCCCTCTAAATGCGAAAAGTCATACTCATCCAGTAGCTTCCCATCCAAATCCGGGACGCGCTGTTCATCTATCTCCGACCACGATTTACCCTGTTTAAGTATGAGGAAATTCATGTCCTGTACCTGCGGTATCTGTAGTATAAACGTGGGAGGGATAGTACTTTGGTTCCCAGTTTGTTCCTAGTAAATTGCCTCTCATGACGTCAAATCCCACTAAAACGTCACAGTCTTGTGGCAACCACTCCGAGATCAGAAATAAAATCTCACGCGTTTCGCAGAATGTCGGCATGCCGTCGGCTACCCTTACTTGTAGAATTAACGTTGCTGTTGTGCGGTGTGTAAGTGCTGCTTCTCCACTGCCTCCAAACTCTCTGATGTGAATTGGGTTAGTCGCAGTGATAGTTAACTGATGCTTCTCGCGTAGTCGACCAGCATCGTTGCCGGTCCAGCATCGTTGCCGGTCTTGCTCCCGTATCGTTGTAGATGAAAGCATGCTCGTCTTCGCATAGCGCTTCAGTAACTGGTCCAGTTCACTCTTGTACTTCTACTGTCGCGTCCCTTTCATCGTCGAGCTAAGCTGTTGCCACTGATTGTCACCTAGGGGGTTCCTCTGCTCTGAACGTAACGTGTTCCTGTTCTTGTGCGGCGATGGGTCCACTGCTCTGCTTCTGTTCCGCTGCCTCCCCCTATCATAAATGTTTTTCCTGTGGGCACGTATTTTGGTAGTGACCCGGTTTACAGCAATTATGGTATACCGGGCATACAGAGCCCATATATCTCACATTACACTTACTGTACTGGGGTGCCGGACCTGGCGACATGGACCTCCTCGTGTTGCCATGTCTGCTGTCCCTACCACACCGATCATTTCTGCTCACAGGCCTACTAGAGTCCCTACTGTACGAGCTCCCATGATCTCTGCTATTGCTCCGCATATATCTGGCCTGAGGTCGAGGCTGTCGGTCCGGGGTGCGTCTGTCGGACAAATATCCATCCGTTACCTGCCTATTATTCCCATATTGTGACTTGACTAACTGTGCTGCATGTGCTTCTGCTCTCCCCGGCCCAAATGTGTCGAAGATTTCCGGCATTGTGGTACGACGGTTTCTAGGAAACGCCGCATTCATAAATGTGCGTCCTGCCGTTTGTAGCTCTTTTAAAGCCTTGAGCAGCTGTGGTGTAACTATGTTATAAATAGATGTAAGAGCTATTCGCAACTGTGTGTCCTTCGTAACTGCATGCAGCATAGTTTGCGCTGCGAAGTAACCTCCTCGCGACGCATCCTGTCGTAGTTTTCGTCGATGGCTTCCCAGGGTATGACATGTACTGGTGCTTTCTCCTGGGACCCAGATTGCCTGTATGGTGGCTTGTTCTGTTGAAAATCACTATCACCATATCCAAATTGATTGACTGGGTGGCGCAGCTTGGTTTTGCCCTACAAGCTGTCTACATTGTACATATTTCTATTCGGGAACCACACCTTGTGTTGTGGTACGTAGATATATGCCTCTCGCTGATTCGTCGTCCGGCACCAACGCCCTGCTGCACTGAAAATAAAATCATCCCCATAGTCAATGATTTCTCCCTGCTGGCTGACCACATGATGTGCTGTACGAAGTCCCCAGTGCACCCCTTCCCATCTCGATGTTCCCCCGCGCGGCTTAATAGACACTGGCGCCGTTCGCACCATCGTCAAATGTGCAATAATCTCTACATCGGGTGCTGGGCCGTCCGGCAATAATGACTCGTCTCGTTACCACAGGATATCATCCCAAGCTCGCTTCTCCTGAATTGTGCTCGGTCCCTGCAATCGTTATCGTGGCGCGATACCCTAAACCTAGGTGGTGACCGTCGCACTACCGGACGGTGTGGTGACAGCGACCTTGACCTGCTGCTTTGTCGCGACCGTGTCCGGGAACTGCTGCGTCGTTGCGAACTCGAAATGGTACCCTGTAGTGAGCACGAAGCGTGTCGCCTATTCCGGCTGGCACTTATCCCATCGGCGGGGTTGAGAGTGTCTCGAAGATCCCCTTGACCCTCCCCTTGACCCCTTTGACCCTCCCCTTGACCCCCTGGGGTGATTCTCGAATGGTGAATTTGTGGACCTCGCCCGATGTTACTCCCTTCATCATCCCCCCAGGATTCTCGTCTCCGCTTGTTCGTCTTCCTAGTTGCTGCATCCTCTGCATCCTCTCTCTGTTCGCCGTCCTCAAGTTCTTCTTTCTGCTCGTTGATCTTCGTGAAAGCCGTTATGGTGGCCTGTATATCTAGCTCCTTCTCTGCATACCGCTCCTGGCCTTCACTATCAATCTGTATTAACTTTTCTGGTATACCCTTCAACCCTCTACTCAACCAAAGCGGTGTCGTCGGTCGTTGCCGTGGTGTCGTTCGGGGCTGCTCAGGTGCACGAAATTGTGCTTGCATTCTTAAATTAGCTCAATAGATCTCTACCGGCGTCATTCCTGAGCCTTCAGCACACAACATGCTCAGCTTCATAGGTGCGTTACGCAACGCCTTTTGTGTGCTGCTTTGCGGATTGAGCTCATTTTCGGTGGCGTATATATGACACGCCCCGCTGCAAATTCTGCTAACTCATTATCATTACCGCTCGGCTCCATGCTGCCGCTGTCACATTGTCACTCATGTCTGTGGCTTTCGCATGCAAATCGACCACGTACAACGGTACAAACAGATACGACGGTGCGCCAAAGTTTTCCAACAACACTCGCTCCACATCCAGTACCCCTGGGTCATTTGGCAGAAGTGGGTACAACTCGATCAGCACGGACTGGTCTAAGTATTCGTACATTATTTCCAATATTGCCTGCTTCGGAGACAAACCTTTCATGGCTTGGGCACACACCTTGCCCCCTCTTAAATCTCCGCCATGGTCGCAGAAAACAAAAAAAACAAAAAAACGCCTATGGGATCTTGCTTGGCTGCCATATACACCTTCGAAGGTGACATCGTGTGCCGAGAGATCGATCAAAAACAACTCACGTCCTCTTCTCGAGTCCAAAAAGAAAAATTAAATGTGTCTTCTCAGCTCCTCGACGTCTGTGGTTGATGCCGTCAAGGCTAATTTAATCGTAGTTCGAGTTTATATAATCGTTACACTAGGTTTCTTTATTTTAACTGTTAACTAGATGTTAGCTATGACGTTCCAACCTAACCAAGTGTAAAAGTGGGCTGACGTTCCCTCAGTCCCACTCCTCATATGTCCACTCCCGATCCACTACTAGGCTGTGATGCATATATACACACACACACACACACACATATATATATATATATATACATACATATATATATATATATATATATATATATATATATATATATATATATATATATATATATAATATATATATATATATATATATATAT